TAACTTCAAGATCAATGCTAAGAAGTGCGAGTGGGCCACGACACAAGTCTTGTACTTGGGCCACATTTTAGACGGAGATGGCATCAAGCATGACGACAACAAGATAGCGGCAATTAGAGATTGGCCGATTCCCCGCACATTGACAGTGTTGCGGTCATTTCTAGGCCTAGCTAACTACTATAGGAAGTTTGTGAGGAACTTCTTGACTATCGTCGCTCCCCTTCGCAGGTTGCTCAAAAAAGACGCAATCTGGCAGTGGGATAAAGACTGTACGTCTGCGCTAACGAAGTTAAAGCGTGCATTAATAGAGTATCCTGTCCTCAAAGTAGCAGATCCGTCTTTGCCATTTGTCGTCACCATGGACGCGAGTTAGTATGGTATAGGCACCGTGGTACAGCAAGATGACGACAATGGCTACAAACCCGTAGAGTTCATGTCAGCGAAGATGCCCTCAGAAAAAGTAGCTACCTCAACTTACGAGAGAGAACTCTACGCTCTCAGGCAGGCCTTACAACATTGGAAGAATTACCTGCTTGGGAGGCACTTCAAAGTGTATTCAGACCATGAGACTCTCAAGTGGCTGAAGACAAAGGCCAAAATGACACCTAAGTTGACTAGGTGGGCTGCTGAAATAGACCAATATGACTTAGAGCTTAAATCGGTCAAGGGCAAGTACAATGTAGTTGCGAATGCTCTAAGTAGGAGATCAGTCTACTTTGGAGCTATAGTCCATTATCTGGATATAGGGACAGACCTGCAATAGAAAGTAAGACAGGCGTATGCGCAGGACCCTATTTATAGCGACCTCCTCAAGAGAGTTAAGGAGGCCCCAGAGACCGAACCAGATTATCGCACTACAGAGGGGTTGTTATTTGAGAAGACTAATCTAGTCGACCGTTTGTGCGTTCCCAACAGCGAGGAAATCCGTAGTCTGATCCTAGGGGAATGCCATGATACAGAGGGACACTTCGGTTGGCAAAAGACTTTAGCCAATCTGATGCGTGCATGTACTTGGCCAGGAATGAAGAAGGACTACGTAGAGTACGTCCGCAGTTGCAAAGTCCGCCAAAGAAATAAGACTTCTATGCGTGCCCCTCTAGGTCTTCTCAGACCCTTGCCTATCCCTGATCAGCCAGGAGACTCAGTATCCATTGACTTTATGGACGTTGGCGTCAAGAGTAGGCATGGTAAAAGCCAAGTCATGGTGATAGTTGATAGATTTAGTAAATATGTTGTTTTTGTTCCATTACCCGCAGAAGCTCGTACTGAGCTTGTCATTCAGAAGTTTTTGATGTTTGGGTTAGTGAGCATGGAGTCCCATTGTCTATCGTTAGTGATAGGGATAACCGCTTTACGAGTCAGAAGTGGCAGGAACTGATGAAAAGTTTATGGGTCAAAGTTGCTGATGTCATTTGGCCGTCATTCAGAGACTATCGGTCATACTGAACTGGTGAACAAGATCCTGCAACAAGTTCTGCGCACGTACATTAAACCAGATCAAGTCAATTGGGACGAGATGTTGCCTAAGGTATAGCTAGTGCGTATAACAACAGCGTGCACTTGTCCGCTTGTCGCACTCCCAACGAGTTGCACAAGTCCTTTAGACCGAGCATACCAGATTCATGGGATACCGCCCGGTACCAGGGAGTTTGCGATACATAACGAGAAAGAACTAGCTACAGTCGTCGAAAACCTCAGGAAGGCCCAACATAGAATGATAGAGCAAGCCACCAAGCACCGTCGCCCATCGCAGTTCCAAGTAGGCGACTTAGTCTGGGTCAAGTCCAAAGAGTTTGCTCCTAAGGAGAACATCTCGCAGAACTGCGAGCATACAGAGGACCATGGCCAGTTCTAGAAGTCAAGGGCGGAGAGGATGGGCCGTCCTACACCGTAGAGATCCCAACACACCTCCACACCTACCCCATATTTCATGCATCAAAATTGTTGTCGTGTGTTACAAGCCAAAAGTTTCCTTCAAGAAGACCCATGATCCCTTTGGATATGGATGGGAGATATGACATTGAGGGCATTGTAGGTGAGGATGTATTCAGAACAGGAGGTAGAGGTCGTCCACAAAAACAGTACAAGGTCCGATTCGCATATCAGGAACTGGAAGATGACCGCTGGTTTACAAGAACTAAACTTCTAGAAACAGCTCCCGACGTAGTTAGGGCCTATGAGAGAGATAAGAAAGGCAAAGGTCCGGCCTTGAACTGAGATATTCTCGGAGGACCTCGAATTTAGGCTGGCGAGAGTGAAACGGATTCCACCTTTGCAGTAGCCGATGCAGATCCCAGGGCTCGATCCCTAGTCCTCACCCTACCTGTCTACAGTATTTGTGTCGACCCCAAGAGTTGAACCCACGACCTGTATCTTTCCCCACAGTTGGTAGGCTGTCGTATAGGGGTTCGACCTGCAGACCTGTCGGATAGGAGTCTTGGTGAGTTCTAGAAGTCGTAGTTGTAGCTCCTCGGAAGGGTCAAGGTCGTAGCTGCTACAGTCCTGAAGGGTCAAGGTCGTAGCTGCTACAGTACCGAAAGGCCAAGACCACGGTCTTCCGGAAGGTCCGGAAGTGGCCCTTCGGGTATTGCCCACAGTAGATCGAGGCAAGTGGGCAAGTGGCGAAGTCCACCGGTGTTGAGTCAGCGGTACCCAGTCCCAATCAGTCTCAGTCCAGTGCGGAAGCGCTGCCATAGCGACTTGTGCGAGGTGGTCAGCAGTATGCCCGAAGACGAAGTGGGCGAGAAGGAGAGCTTAGCCATAGCGATAGGTGTAGTGGCAGCCATAGCCGCCATAGCTGATAGAAGAGTGTAGCATGTGTGTGTGTGTTTGTGTACAGTGTGATGCGTGTGGGATATCTAGGGTGATCCTAAGTTGAGGGTGTGTGGACAGTAGAGTGGGGCGCAGTAACGAACAGGGAGTTGTACAGACGCTGATGCGCCATAGCCATCTGAAGCGAACTTGTATCTGAACTCTGTCCTTGGTTTCCATATCTCTGAGTTTTGAGTGGGTGCTCGTCGCCAGTTTGCTGCGCTACCTGTTTACATGCATGTGGGGTGTGAAATAAAGTGTGTCTGATTGCAAAATTCAGATGGGTTATTATCTCATCCCAACGAGCAGCGATGAGATAGCAATAAGTGAATAATCAAATTAGTATTTAAAATTAATAATAGTCGTTTATGCCGTTCGAATATTGAGAAGTGTGCGAACAACATCAGCCATGACTTTAGCTCGGGTCTGAAATAAATAAATAAATAAGAATTAATTAAAGTAAAATATAGTACAGCTAAAAAGCCAAACAGCAGATTCAAGAATGAACCTATCAGCCGGCTTGATTCCCGAACGAGTAACCATGCCAATCCGAGAATCCGAATTCTGGGATCGACAAACGGCCAGTCATCAGATCTCTTGCAACAGCGGTAATGCTGCTCCGTTCACATACGGTAATTGATGACTCCGCTGCCACCAGCGGTAATGTTGTCTCTTCACTTGTGGTAATGGTTGATTACGATGCCAGCAGCACCGGTTTCTCTTGCACAAGCGGTAATGAGGACATTGTCGGAAATGATCCGGACGGGCCCTCGTATGTAATTCGGATTCCAGGTCACCTTCGCACCTACCCTGTCTTTCACGCCTCTAAGCTCGTGCCTTTCAAGGAAACTGACCAGTTTCCATTGCATCAATCAATGCTGCCCCTAACCATGGATGGAGAGGTCGACATCGGCGACATCGTGGATCACCGAGAGATGTCGGTTCCAAGACCAACAGGCAGGGGCCATCCTCCGAAGCCGAAGCTGCAATATCGCGTTCGGTTCAGACATCACACTGATGCAAAGGAGGACAGATGGTTTACACGCAAGGAGCTGATGCAGACCGCTCCACAGGTTGTCGCTCACTATGAGAAGTTGCTGCAGAAAGGAAAGCACCAGATTGAGTGAACTTCTCAGAGGACTGTCGAAGTATGGAGGAGGGAATGCGAGGCTCAAGGCCTCGATGAGCCCTACTGGGCCCTGATTTCAGCAATATCGGCCGCCCTAATTGAAGGCAGGCCTGACAGGGTACGAGAGGCCTATTTGGGCCTTTCCATGCAACTGGGAATTCAGGCAGTTGTGCAGCGCCAGTTGGTTGAGAGAGCCCAGGCCCTGCCTGCCTTTTTCCAAATGTATCTGAGGCAGGCCCTGGGCTCGACACGGGGCATGGGCTGCACACAGGCCGCTGGCAGTTGGACACGGGTAACCACCCTAGGCCCTGTGCCTGATTCCCTTGGGTAACCACCCTAGGCCCACCGGAAGCTTCTGGGCAGGGGCCCAGCGCAGCCAGGCAGCACGCAGCAGGCAGGCCACTTCCATCTAGGAAAGTGCCTGCCCCTGCATTCGGCATTCAGGCACTTGCGACATGCTGCGCAAGCGCTGCTGCACTATCAGCTGGGAAGCGCCCGTGCGCTCACGGGCGAGCAAGATACACGCAGGCAGCCATAGCTGAGCTGGCCTGCGAGGTGCTGGATGGGGCGCATGGTGGTCCTTGGGTGCACGTGGCATCTGTGTGGGGGATTGAGGTTGCGAGTGATGCGAGAGACATACCTGGTGCTTGAGGCGAACGGCATTGGCCGAGATCTGCTCGTACTTTGGGGAGCTGTTGACGTCACCAGCGGCGTTGTAGATAGGCTAGATAGGATCTGCCACTTGTAGTCTGGGCGCAAAGCGCCAGATAGGAAATCGACATTGGTTCTTTGTTGATGATGATGAGACTATTCCAGCATTGTCACTTGTGAGCTTTTGCTGTGCTCATTTTTGGTGGAACTCGAGTTGCAATGCTGCTTTTGGTTCGAAATCACTACTATCTGGTTTCATGTGTATAATGCTGCTTGGTTTCTGGAATTCGCTATCGCTCATTTTCGTCTGGCATGCAACAAAAGTCAGATGTTGTGCCTTTTCATGTGAAGTTATGCGTCGCTTGCTGATCCAGATACGATGTGTGGTTCTGTTCTCTGTTATGCCCAGGTTACTCTTGGATGGGGAAATGCGATTGTTCCGGACGTGCTCTTGGTTGATGGATATGACCTTGAAGGCTCCGTTGTTTCACAGGTAATGAATGACATTGGCGCCTCTCCTCTTGTACCCAGTTGCACGGGAGAAGATCTGTCTGTCAAGTTCGCATCACCACCCCCTCCCCCACCCCCTGGTTCTTGTCAAGATGTGTATTGTTGTTGTGTAGTGTGTATTTGAATATTGGCAGTATATACTTTTTGCCCTTGGATACTGGTCCTTTCAGCAAGTTTGCTATTCTGGTGTTCTTGGAAGTCGGAAGTGTTAAAACTTAAAACGTTATGGAGTTTAAAGAACCATGTATTGCATAAGAGAAACATTGACATTGGGAAGTCACATTTTGCAGGACATTCAAGCAACTTATCTTCAGTCATTTAGCCACGTTCCAGACGGGGGGGGGGGGGGGGGGGGGGGGGGGGGGGGGGGGGGGGGGGGGGGGGGGGGGGGGGGGGGGGAGGGAGGGGAGGGGAGGGGGAGAGAGAGAGAGAGAGAGAGAGAGAGAGAGAGAGAGAGAGAGAGAGAGAGAGAGAGAGCATGCATCTCCGCTCGTAGTGCATTCAGTAACTTCGCTATTCTGGTTGTGGGTTGTGGTAATTTATTTTTATAACTAATGTTGAGAGAGAGAGAGAGAGCATGCATCTCTGCTCGTAGTGCATTCAGTGACTTCGCTATTCTGGTCGTGGGTTGTGGTAATTTATTTTTATAACTAATGTTGGATTGTCCGTGGATTGCATGATGGATACATTGTCACATGAAAACAGA